ACAAACACTTGAAGTTTGTTTCCAGCTCCTAGTGTTCAGTACAATTCCACCCAAATTTGCAGAGGAACTGAAGTTTTACAGTTTAGCCCATGGGTGGGTTCACTGTAACAGACAGAGTCAGTTTAACACCTGCTAGAAAAGTCTGATCAATCAGCGCAAACAGAGTTAATATGATCCTGTGTTTGAGAAACAAATATATTTTCCAACTGTACTGCATTACATATTATCATCTATATGTCAGACAGACAGATAAACTGATACACACACATCAAATTATATAAGAACACTGACATTTGGGTGTCAAACAATGACAGATTTATTTTATGTCCAATGAAAGATAGCAAATAAAAAACATCACACATCAGTAAAATATAGAACACTGAGTGTGATTACATGCACTAAATAATCTGATATCTGCAGAAAATCAGATTTTGCACTTTAGTAATCAGATAATTCTGAAAACTCCAGGTCTACATGAGTCAGACAGTAATCAGATTTCCTTTACAACCAGCCGATAAACTGAAGATGTGACGTAAACGCGATGTAAAACTCAAACTTCATGCAGCGTTTTTTTTTTTTTTTAACATTGCGCCACTTTACCTGAAAATATGAACATACATCATCTAGAAGATGAAAAGTATTAAAATCCTTTATTTCATGTTTGGTCTCAGCGTTGCTCCAAAAGCGTTTTGCTGCGTCTCGCGGCGACGCTGCTCGCTTATTTCCGGTACCGTTGTCTGTTTTCACACATGCTCAGACTGAGAAAACCGAAAGAAATCAGAGTAAGAGTTTACATGCACTGAGAAATCTGACTACTGAATTAAAATCCAGCTCTGTTGATCAGATTTCTCAATTGGATTTCTAGATTGGAGCATGGTGTTTACATGACCATTTGAATAATCAGATAACTGCAGAAATCTGAATATGATCAGATTATTAAACACACTCATTGTTTCTGAATAACTACTGCTTTACCAGCCGTTAATGTCAATTTCATTAAAATGCTTAATTAAAACCAAAATATCAACATCTAAAAGACACGAATAAAGCAGAAGAAAATCTCTGTTTTCAGATGTTTCTCTTTCTCATTGTAAAATTTGTGTAAACATGTGGAACAAAAAGACTAAATGTACTTTATTAGTCTCTGTGTATTAAAGGTGTCTGAGCTGTGACGCTGTGTAAGAACTAACCCCGCAGTGCGGAGGCTGGACTTAAGCCTAACTAACACGCTGTGAGCTGTGCTGTAGGAGACAAGATGGTGATTAAAGTAATATAAGGTTGGACTTTGTGATTCACACAAACAGCTCAGTAACTGAAAAAACCTGTGTTGAAAAAAATGACTTATGTGCCCTGAAAACCCTCTTTGGCACAGATTTCTTTAAAACACTGACGAATTGCTCTGACTTTTGGTGGGAGACTGTGGCTGGGAAATGTGGTACTGTGGCCAGAAGCTCACGCTGCCTTCTGTAACAACGTAAAAAGTCAGTGTTAATTTGTGGCCTGCTTTAGGTTGTTCCCCATACTCCCCTATATGTAGATGTAAGATATGTAGATGTAAAGTGTCAAACTTATCTAACAGAATTGACACATTTAGAAAAATATTTTAAAATATATATCTGTCTCATTTTTGTCGCTCCAAAAACCCCTTTTGGCTCTTTGGTGTTTAAGCCTGTGTTGAAGATGAGGAATGAACTCTCAGAAGAGCTTTAAATGTGGGCTCTAGTTCAGGCTTGAGGCCAAACGATGAGCCAGAGTGTGGCTGACAGCTTTGTAAATGCTGTTTTGGTTCCTCTTAGAATATTTCAGTTCTTTTTCCCAGATCAAGCAGGAGAAAGGGGACAGAACGTCTCTGTGTCTGTCTCTATTGTTCTGCTCAGCTGTGATGTTTTGTTAGTCTGACAGTGCTGTGTTTCTGCAGTGAGGTCACCATCGTGATGTTACTGTAGTCTGTCTGAAACGTTCGCAGCTCTGTTGACTGTGTAGGACGACACTGATGCGTTTTCACTCCTCTGGGACTGAATCCTCCTGGAGCAGCTGGGCTGCATGAGAAGAGGCAGGACGGAGAGAACTCTCAGTAGATGTTCGTGGAGTGGTGAAACAGCTGGTAGCTCCACAGCAGGACCTTAGGGAGAGCAGCCTGCTGTGGATATGGAGTGTTGCAGATGTTGGTGGAAAACTGTCCAAATTCAGAAAGGATGTTACTTTGGGAATTGTTGGATTCAAATGGAATAAAAGACAGAATTCAGGCTTTAAGGCTTTGTTCACACAGCAGGTAAAAGTGGCCCAAATCCGATCTTTTTCTTCATATGCGACTCAGATGTGTGTCTGTGTGTCAGTGTGAACAGCAAAAACACACTGAATCTGACATGTTCAGTTCCCATTTGAGATGCTTTGGCTACGTTCACATTACAAGCCTCATATCTCAATCCGATTTTTTGCTCAAATCCGATCTCTCTGACACGACGGTTCACACTCGTTTAGGTGACTCAAATCTGTCATTAATGTGAACGAACCAGCGTCCTGAAACGACCCGCATGCTCACATCCTACCCAGTAACGTCACGTAAATGAATCACGAGCATCATCAGCACAAACTAACGAGCAGAACGAGCTTCGCTGAGAAGATAATTAACTCTGATCAGCTCTCAGCTTCATTATTAGAGCAAGACGAAGGAGAAAAAGGTGAGATGAGCTGCTTTTCCACTGTTTACTGGCTTTAATTTCTGTTCGGCGCTGCTGCCATGGTAACGCTGAATGATGGCGCGGAGGAATTCCGATCTGAGCGTCACATTAAGGTCACATGGTGACAAATCGGATACGTATCCGATCTAAGACCACATATGAAAGAGGCTCAGGTCGGATTTGAAAAGATCAGATTTGCGTGTCCACACAGCCCTGAAAACATCAGATCTGAGTCACATTAGGGCAAAAAATCCGATTTGTGCCACTTCAACCTGGTAATGTGAACCTAGCCTTTCATATGTGGTACTGAAATCCGATACGTATCCGATGCAGCAATGCGTCTCAGTCTGAACAGCCAGATTGGAATTCATGTGACTTTTACGTCAATCCAGTTCAACATTCCTCCAAATTTCATGCCGCTGAGATAAACATTTGGGGTGATGTTTCTGTACAAATGATTAGAAGAGACGTATCCAAATCGCTCGTTGTTCAAACAGATTTAGAAAGAAATGTCCAAACGCGGCTGCAGGAGAACGAGGCTGCAGCGTCAAAGAACAGTTAAAAGTCTGAGAGCAAAGTTTAAAGAATCCGAGGACACAAACCAATGAAGTGACCGCGCCCTTTTTATGGGAACACAAACACATTCTGGGTGATGAGCCCAGCTGTCAGTCAGTGAAGCTTCATGATGGCTCCTGTGATGCTGGTGAAGATGAAGCTGATCCTCCGGGAGCGACTGGCGTTCGTTGGCGGTCGTGATTGTTTACCTCTGGATGAGCCGTGAAGCAGCGTGACGCTCTGTTCTTTTGCCCATGTGGGTCAGTTTAGGAGCAGATCAAATTTAAAAGATATTGTGAACAGTCAAACAAAAAATCTGATTTGGTGAGAAAATCAGATTTGGGCCACTTTTACCTGCTGTGTGAACGAAGCCTAAGACTGCTGGCCTTACATTTCACCAACTTCTTATCATGGCTGCGCATTGCAAAGCGTACTCGTCCTGCAGTTTTCGACATATCAACACCGTTTCAACTCCAGATTGTTTGGTCTGATTGGGTGATTCAGGCTTGTATACAGCTTTTTGATTGGATGCACGGTTTTCCTTCAATCTTCGTTAAATTCCGATTTTTTTCCCCACAGAAATGAACGGGGTGAAAAATTGCACAAACATCTACTGTACTTCTGCTTGACCGAAGGTCACTGTTTCACATATACTATCTCAGGGCTGGCCCTGGAGCGTGAATCCAATGTTGTTCTTACCTGCTGTCATTTATTTGTCATTTTTTTCAACCCTTGTTTCTCCCATAGATTCCCATTAATTTTCACCCAAACCCCACCCCTGTTTTTTCCGATGCTCAGCAGCCACCATAATGCATGTACTCACTCAGGGCAGGTCCCCAAGCTCTAATCCACAGCCATACTGACCTGCACTCCTCTATGTGTCGTTTTTTTATCCCTCGTTCGTCACACAGACTCCCATTCATTTTCAACAGCACGTAGCTAACACTTGGCAACTCCTTACAAACAACTAAATAAACACTCCATACAGCGTGGCAACTGCCTAGCAGCAGTTTAGCAACCACCTGGGATGCGATAGTAACCACCTAGCAACAACTTTGCAGGAAGTGGGAACCATTTAAGGTTCGCAACCATTCTGCGTTTCCTTCAGGAAATGCATGTTTCTAGTTCAAATTTGCCGTTCCACCTTAAATGGTGCAGTAGCATTCTGGTGACTCTGCACCATTTAAGGCGGAAAAGGAAAACTTTGAATTCAACTTTACTAACATGTTTAAGGCAAACGTGTGATGATTTAGGCATGCAGTTAGCAACCTGCTAATTGGTGGGGTATATGCTTCAATTATTTGTCAGCTACATTAGCCTCATAGCTTCAGTGCTAAAACTAAGGAAGCTAATTTGTCCTGGCTGATTGACTACATTTGGTGTAAGGGAGTAAAATAATTAATACATTTGATTTTTCACCAAACTATATCCAAACTAATCTGGACAGACTCCTGTTTATCATGGTCTCCAAAATGGGTCATCCCGTCCTTACCCAGCGTGCCCTCTTTCAGCAGTAGTGCACTCAGATACAGGCAGTAAGTCCGTGTGCACCTGAACTTCTGCTCTAGCAGACTTTTTCTTTTACACGATGTTCTTTGTGTTTCATTTTCTTCCAGTTTAGCTGTAATTCATTTCCGGTCAGCAGCACTTATCGGCGTGGCTGCAGGCCAGCATCCGCCCCCTCCAACCAGGAGGTAGCTTCTCGTAAGTGCTTGCGGTCAGTATGAACATTTACCAACAGATTTGCTTTGTTTTTGTTTGTAGGGGAGCGTTTTCAGTGGTGCGCAGGTGTGTGAAAATCCTCTCAGGGCAAGAGTACGCTGCCAAGATCATCAACACCAAGAAGCTCTCTGCCAGGGGTGAGTGTGGTTTCCATCAGTGGAGCTGAGGCTTCTCTGGTGGGCCAGTCGAAAACACAGCATTTCAGAATAACGGTGAAGAAAACACCTTAAAAAACACTTAAAAAATATGGTTCTTCAATGGTTCCTTAATAAAGGCAACATTTCTATTCAGAACCTTGAGTTCTATGTAGAACCATTTGCATGCTTAAGTGATTCTTTGCATGGTGAAATGGTTCCTCACATTGATGGAGAACATAGAAGCTTTTTGAAAATGGTTCTATATAGCACCAAAAAGGGTTACAAGCTTGACCTCATAACAATAGCAGAACCCTTTTTGGTACTATATAGAACCATATACAACACATTCTCTGTCAATCTGTAGAACCATTCCATTATGCAAAGAACCATTTAACCATGCAAAGGGTTCTATATGGAACTCAGGATTCTAAATAGAAACATTGCCTTTACTAAAGAACGTTTGGAACGTCTGTTTAGGTGTGTATGAAACTAAAACTGAAGGATTCTGTGACCAAAACAAACAAATCCAACCTAACTTCGTTTTAGATTCTTTTAGAAGCAGCCCCTCTTTGTCTTGATGCTGCTTTGCATTAAGTTGACTATTTATATTTGTCTTAGACACAATCTGTGCTATTCAACCTCATTCATTAAGCCCTCAGGGGTCTCACAGTCTTTGGCTCTAGTCATATACATCCCTGATCACCTCCGAAGGTGGTTTGAGTGATTGGACTGTCCCCTTATGATCAGATCACCACAGCAGAGAGGAAAGCAGCCATATGGCTTCTTTCTTCCTCTCTTCTTCTGTTTGACCACTCGAGGCAGATGTTAATTCCAGGTCTGGACAGGGCCTTTGCTCTAAAAACCTACTATTAAATGCTTGAAATATGTTTTCAAGACAAATATAAATAGTGAAGGTAATGCAAAGCTGCATCAAGACAAAGGGGGGCGTCATAGCGTCTGCTTATGATCAGATCACCCTGAACGTGTGTTGGTACTGGATGTGAAGAAAGGTCAGTCTAAATGTCTACGACAGTGGTTCCCAACCCAGTTTGCCCAGACGGTCCACATTATTACTTCATCTCTATGTGTCGGGAGTTGGGTTGGAGCAAAACTGTGGGCCGTGAAGGAGCCGGGTTGGGAACCACTGGTCTAAGGTTATGAAAAAACACACACACCATCAGGTAGGTCCAAAATTTAGACTGGAGCTGTACCAGTGCTGTAAAAACTGTCCTCAAGGGTGATGTTACACTGTAACTGTTACATTCTCACCTTCGTTAAATGATAAACCTCAGACTGCTCACCTGCACCTTTTTGAGCAGGAGATGAGCGTTGGGTGGGTGTGTATTGTTTAGCTCACAGTAATGTGGCATTTTGTTGGAAACTGCAAGGTCTGAATACACCAGAGAGGTTTCAGTTCTCATCTCACACCTCCTACACAGCGCTGCCAGGCACAGCTCTCATATACGGCTCCTCTAAAAGTACTGTACGAATGCAGCTTCAGTATACGGCTCCTCTAAAAGTACTGTACAGCTCAAATATAGTACTCCTGTAAAGGTACTGAAACTCAGCTTTTATCTATACAGTTTCTGTACAATTTCTGTTCAAACACAGCTCGAATATATGGCTTCTCTAAATGTGCTGAAACACAGCTTGTATGTATACAGTTTCTCTAAAAGTACTGAAACACAGCATGTATATATAGTTTCTCTAAAAGTACTGAAACACAGCTTGTATGTATACAGTTTCTCTAAAAGTACTGAAACACAGCATGTATATATACAGTTTCTCTAAAAGTACTGAAACACAGCATGTATATATACAGTTTCTCTAAAAGTACTGAAACACAGCTTGTATATATACAGTTTCTCTAAAAGTACTGAAACACAGCTTGTATATATACAGTTTCTCTAAAAGTACTGAAACACAGCATGTATATATACAGTTTCTCTAAAAGTACTGAAACACAGCATGTATATATACAGTTTCTCTAAAAGTACTGAAACACAGCTTGTATATATACAGTTTCTCTAAAAGTACTGAAACACAGCATGTATATATACAGTTTCTCTAAAAGTACTGAAACACAGCTTGTATATATACAGTTTCTCTAAAAGTACTGAAACACAGCTCAAATATATGGGTTTTCTAGATGTACTGTACAAACACAGCTCGAATATAGTGCTCCTCTAAAAGAACTGTACAACCTCTGCATTTTCAAAACAAGTTCATTGTACTCTCAATAAATGTGCTCATTATTCACTGATGAATACACTCATGCAGTCTGACCTCTGACCCACAGTCACATTAGGAATGGTCTGTCTCACGGAGCCAGATTTGATCTTGTAGCAAGAAAACAAGTCTGGGAACAACTTGTAAAACATTTGGTGCTAGATTGCTATAAAATCCACCATTAACAAGGACATGCCCCCTCTAAAGCCCCCCAAATTCTTCTAGTCGACACTCTAGGAACACAAGCCAGCTAGTGAAAAGCTAGGGTGTGTGTGTGTGTGTGTGTGTGTGCATGTGTGTAATGTGTTCTCCACACATGCGACTCACGTCCACATGCTTAATTGGACTATTTCGGGGACTCTTCAGCTAAACTTACGCTACATCCATGTCCTAATGTCAGGCTTGTTGTCCATCAGGCAATGTTGGAGGCACAACAATGCCCCCTATTTTAAGCTCTGCCTTCAGGAGATGTTGAGCTAATTTCACTCTAAATTTGTTCTCTCTGTATTAAATCAACATTCTCCCCATATTTAGCCCAAAATTTCACCTCATTGTCCACAGACGTTCATGTTCCAAGATCATGTCTGGCTCTGCGAGAATGGTAGGACACTTAACACTGGAAAGGTGTACTACTGTCACTTCATTTGTTAGCTTATTTGCTTTAATGTTTATTTTTATTTACTTCTGTGACATAATTGGAACCTCGTTAATTTTGGGCTGAGTTATTAAGCTTAAGACGTCTATTAATTTTTAAATAACTAGTATGAAATTAATGTATAAGTCAACAATTGCAGTGAACGATTTCAGTACAGTATTGATAAATAGTAAAAATGGCCGTTTATGAACAGTGTATGTAAATGTAAAGCTGTAAGCCCTCACGCTCTACAGAGCATCTTTCACTAAAACCATAGTCACTGATTAAAACTAGGCATCTGAGCAGATCCTTTACAGTAATGTGGGTGGTGAGGGGCGGGGCTTATGCTGCGGACACACCCACGCTCAAATGGCGGCTTTTTTTATGAACAGTTTAAAAACTGTAGAGGTTGTGATTCTTGGGGTTTGTCTTTTTAGATGGTGGATCATCAGGAGCTGAAAAAGAAATTAGATCTTCTCCTCAGAACTGAAAATTGAAAGCGTGTGTTTTCTAACACCCTAGTAATTGTAATAGTGAGGAGTTGAAGCGTGGACCCCAGACAGACCTTTTACCATTTCATTTTATACTTTTGTCTGGTCATTGTTTTGATCCTCCTTTGATAATGTGCTACAAACCATACTTTTGTGGCTTGAGATCTACTTTTTCCAGTGGACAGGTCATCATGATCTACCTTAAAAAAAGAAAGAAAAAAAAAGATTGGCCTCATCCTTTTTTAAAGTCTTTGCAACTTTTGTAATACATTTTAGTGGCCTATATTGATATTATTCAGCATTACAGGCAAACGGCTGAAAAATCACACTAACCTTATTCTGATGATTTGCACTGAATGGTGTCGGCCAGGTTTGTGTAGTTTAGACCACTTTTGTCTTCAGAGTTCACTTTTAGCTGGAAATTCATCACCATACTTTCTGTGTATAGTTCGAAAATGCCTCTAGATGTTCCCCTCCTTGGAAGTGCGATGGCTACTTGGCAATTCAAGCAGATGCATTTGGAGTTCAATGGGATTCAATCCCCCACCTGAGCAAGCACCCTATACTATACCAATAAGAGTCCTTGGGCAAGACTCCTAACACTACCTTCACCTACCGGTGAAAAATGAGTGTCGTCCAAATGCCATAAATGCAAATGTACGAGGTAAGATTTTGGTTTCTTTGCGCTCGGTCTCGCACTCATCTTCTGAAAGAGTCAGTGTAGGTTACAAAAGGAGAACGTGAAAATGGTGCTACACGAACTAGCTACCGATAAATGAAAACTTTCTAGATCTCTAGAGAGGCAAACTCACAGCAGTGCTTTAGGCTGACTGTGGCGTAGATATGGGTAAATTAAAGAGACTTTGCCACATTTCAGGTCAGCCAATCATGCTGACCTGCCTGCTTCCAGAAGCAGTAAGAAAGCGTTGAAATTCGATAGCCTGTTTGAATGAGGTGCGATCTACCAATTTGCACTGGGTGATCAACTGGTCAATCACGATCAACATATTGGACACTCCTGCTATAAACAATTAGATCTCAAAGTCACTGAAAGACACAGAAGACAAATCGTAGGTCAGAGTTTCAGTATGTGTTGAAGTCAGATGAGCAGTGTTGGGTGTTTGTAGTTTAAACTGCTCTGGGCCTCGTTCAGGTGGACCAGGCTGGGACCGAAGGTGTGATGCATCGTCGTTTGTAGCCGAGAAATCCAGTGAGAAAACCCGCTCCTCTTTAAACTCCTCAGAAGGGGAAGCTAAGTGCTGTTTGGATGCTGGCCAGTTCTCAGATTGATTTGTTTAAACAGGTGTTTGGCACAGAAACTTATGTTGATGTCCGTAAATCTCCCGTTCCTGCTGAATCTACACAACCTATTATAATTTTACCCACTCTTTATTAGCTGTGTTTGTAGTCTATTATGCATTAGTGAGCCAGATGTCACTATTCCAGTCATTACATCTCCAAACAGAGCATCTGTATAGGGACAGACACAGAAAAAGAAAAACAGTGAATGGCTCCCCAGACAGCTTCAACTAACACAGCTTCCAAAGTATGAATCACTTGCAGTCTTGGACTAAGTCTGGGGCAGATTATGCACCATGGGTAGTGATGGCGGTAAAACCTGAATACAGTGGAAAGAATAAATAAAT